TGAGCTCCCACTGCTGAGCCAGAGGGCTCTTCTGGGGAAGCATTGCCCCATGGCTCCAGGCAGTCCTGGTGGCCTAGAGCTCCAGCTCCTAGTGCCACCCCAGCTCCACATCAGTGTTTCCCTGCCCAGCATTGGCTCTTACCAGCCCCACAGGTGCTCCTGCCCTTGGAAGCATTTCCTTTCGCTTTCCTTCTCCTGGATTTGGCAGGAGGAGAGCGGTGCCCTCATCACCTGTCTAGGAAAAGATGGCTTCAGGTTAATGCAGGCCAGAGGCTTTGTGTGCCTTGGAAAGCATTTGCTGGAGCTGATTGGGAAATTCCTGGCTTTGGCTGGTGTCCTGGTGGGAATGCTGGAAGCACAGGCTGAGTCAGGCTGGGAGACAGTGGTAGGCATCCCTGCTCTGACACGGAGCAGCGCCAGCATGATCAGGCTGCACAGCACCCAGCCAGCTTTGAGCACCTCCTACCAGAGATCCTACCACCACTCTGGCCCCTGTTCCTCTCCTGGACTGCCCTTGGGGTGAGAAAGCTTTGTTTTCCCTTCTCCAATTGTTGGATGCCCTTGCAGTGCAGAAGGGATGCACCCACACACTGATGGATCCTGTTGGTACCCAGGTGTGCTGCAGTGCAGTGATGGGGATGTGACAGGGTGTGGCAAAGGCCACCTTCCCTTCTCCCATCCCCTGGGGGAGAAAAAGGCTTGAAACCGAGCACTCAGCTTGGCACCAGCAAGCACAACTTGCAGCACATCCTGCTCCCTCTGGGCAGCCACTTGCATTGTTTTGGGGAGATAAGGCTTGTGGCTTTCTCCTGCCAGCCCTGTGCAAGATGGTGTTTGCAGGGTGCCCACCATCAGGCTGCCCCTGCCCTTGTCCAGTTTTGGGGTGCTGAGGGGGTAGTGGGGGCACAGTATGCGGCTGTGTGCAGCCACTGGTGTTGGCAGAGCCACTGCCCATGGCCCCAGAGCCAAAATGTGCCTGTCAAGGGGCCAACTCTGTGATGGTGGGGAGAGCTTGGGCTTCCTGCATGCTCTCTGTGTTCACAGTTGGAGTTTCCCAGTTTCCTGGCCAGATGAACATCCTGAGCATGCTTCTGTGCTTCTTGGGGGTTTGTTTTGGTCTTTTAAACTCCCTGTTTTGACACGTCTTGTCGGAGGCATTCTGAACTGCTCCTGACTGTGGCTCTCCCCCGTGCTTGAGGGGAGTGAATTTGGATGGTTGGTCTAATTATCCTTTCCCCTTTTGTGACAAACTGGCCTCTGCTTGCTTGGGCTGTGAAGCTTTAATTAAGATGATTTTAAATTTAACAGGAGTTGACAGGGTCAGGTAGGAGGGGCTGGGACTTATATCTGTGGGGAGTGTTTAGCTGGGCCCCCACGCAGCAGCTGTGCTGCCCTGCTCCTCCAGCCATTCCTTCATCTGGGAGAGCTCTCCACCAGTGGGGGGGACCCAGGGGAGGGCAGAGGTGCCTTAGCTCAGGTGCCTTTGACATGCAGTCAGCTGAGCAAAGTGGAGGTCCCAGACAGGCACTGGGGGCACCTGCCTGTGGCTTGTCCCCAAAGTGGAGCCGAGATGAAGGGAGCGTCTCTGCATCGCTTCTCCTGTTTTAGGAATAAGTGCGAGTGAGAAACAAGTGTCCTTGTGGAGAAGGGCTGAAGGCACAGTCCAGACATGCCCTCACTGCCTCAGCTGGACAGGGAGAGTGTCTGCAGCATCACAACCCACTTTGCAGGGCTGAGGGAGCAGATCCCACTTTTCACACCACCTGGGACTCTTTGTAATAGGTCCCAGCCTGGCAGAGATGTGCCTGTGTTCCCCTTCTTGTACCGAGCAAGGCCTGGTGGCATGGGACAGGGGACAGGAATCACTTTTCCCACGGGCTGTATTCGGGTGACAGAGGGGATGGTGGGCTGAGCTGGAGCACCCCAAAGCACTGGGGGCTGTGCTGCCGCTCACTGGCCCCAGGCTGTGATGCTGCCGTGGGAAAGGGCAAACCCGGGAGCATCCCCTGGGAGCGAGGGGGAAACTGCTGTGTGAGCATGTCCGGAGCTGTGTCTCCTACTGAAACGTGGGGAGGGAGCAGGAGGTGATGTGGGGAGAGGGATGGGGGGCCACCTTAACATGATTAAAATACCATCTCGATGTGGTTACAGCAGCACTGACCAAACCATGGTGATTCATCACCCTTGGCACTGACCCCACTGTCTGGGGGCCACAATGGCAGGGGCAGCACTGCTGTCACCTGTCACTGTGCCACCCACGCAGGGGGACACAGGGGACGGCGAAGCGCCCCCAGCACAGGACCTCTGGTTTAAATGGCACACCTCCTAGGTGGTTTCCATTTGTCCTGCACGGATCTGCCCCAGCAGGACCCCAGTGCTGCTGGGATGGGGTTGGTTGTGTGCAAAGGGGGGGGAGGGGTCCGATGGGTTTGGCATTGCTGCTCTCAGCCTCTCCCTGTCCCCAGTGCCGCCAGGCTGCTTTGTCTCGCCCGCCGTCCCGCACGCTTCATTTTTCAGTCTGGTGTGAGACAGTTGCCGTGATTAATCTCGCCGGGGCTCTGCGAGCCGAGGACACGGCTCAGCTCGGCTTCCTCCATCAGCGGGTGGATGCTGCTGCCCCAGCCCCTCGCCCTGCTCTCCCTCATCACCCCCTGTCCCACCTGCTGGCAGTGCCACTCAGCACCCACTCAGCCCCAGAGCAACCCCAAGGACGGAGCCTGTTTCCCTCCCCAAGGTTTGGTGTCTGGTATCGGGCCCCAGCCTGTCGCAGCATTTCCCAAGGTTTCTGCCTCTGCTGTGTTTTGTCTGCTCCCAATCAGTGTCTTTTGTTAGTGTCTTTGCAAGGACGGTAAGATCGCTTCCCCTCGCCGCCAGCCCGCTGTCAGCCTGCCCGTTCCACGGCCACTGTATCCTTGAGCGATCCAGGCACGGCGGAAAACAGCGGGACTCGCCAGGAGGGCAGCCGGTTCCCCTCGCTGTTGCCTTTGCCAGAGCATCTCTGCCGCAGGGAGGTAGGGCAGAGGACGGAGCCTTTCCTGCTGCCCAACTTGCCAGTTGATTTTGGGAGGTGTGGGGGTGCTGGGCAGTCCAGGCGGCGTTCCCAGCGCCGGCGGGGGAGGATGGGGACGCCACTGTCTCGCGTGCCGTGATCTGATCCGAGCTGAGTTGTGCAGCCAAGTGTGCCTCATTTTTAATTGCTTTTGGAGAGGGGAGGGCGGGGTTGGCCTCTCCTTGCTGCGGCCTCTGCCCCGGGCAGGGTGCATGGCTGGGCTCAGCCCTGGCATCCTCCCCTCCAGCTGGGGAGGGATGGGGGCCCGGGAAGACCCTGAATGCAGAGCCAGCAGCACACAGATAGGTGGGGATGGCAGCGCTGGCCAGTTGCCTGAGCCTGGCCATGGCTGTGCCAGTGATATACTGGTGAGGATGGCAGCATCTCTGCCAAGCAAGCAGCAGGACTGTGCTGGGCTGTGCCAGATGTGCCAGGCAGTGCCAGGCTGCTGCCACAGCAGCCACTTTCAGCCACCAAACACCCAAGCCTGGCACTGTGAAGTTGCAAGTGCATCCATCCACATGGGGACCTGGCCCTTCCCTGTTGCAGGACCTGGCACCTCAGCACCCGGTGTATGGCTGGCCCCAAGCTCAGGCCTATTTGGGTTTCCCTCATGGCTTTTTTGGCCCTGTTTGGTCCAGTCATGATCATGGCTTTGCAGTGTGTGCCTGGGAGCCCGTGTCACAGCATGCCTGGGTGGTGGGGTACACGAGCACCACGTGTGTGCTGGCACAGCCTTATTTGTATGTGCTACAGCCTGGAGTTGGGGCTGCAGCTTTCCCCTTCCATCCCGCTGTGCAATCATTGCCAGCGAGTATTCGTCAAGTACAAATTACAAACCATTCAATGTCTTGAAGAGCTGTCAGTCAGCTCCTGCTCATTATCCTAATCAAATGCACTAAAAATAGTGACAAAACTTATTAGCGGCGGGAAGGGGAGGCCATCAAAACAAACCTGTGGTAGGGCACAGCCCCTGCATGGCAGCCACCGGGATGTTCCCCTTGGATGAGGTGTGAAACCTGGGCTCCAGCTGGGAGAGGAGCCTGTTGGGATGGTGCTTGGGGCTGTGAAGCTGTGGGGGCTAAATCCCCTCCATCCAGGAGCAGGAGCCCCTCGGGGGCAGCTCAAGCCTCTGCTCAGCACTGTGTGAGCAGGGCTGGTTGGAGAGAGATTTTGCTTTTGGTAGGAGAGGAGGGAGCAGAGGCAGTTCCTGCAGGATCTGGGGAATGGGAAGGGGTGGCAGAGCCAGGCGAGGTGCAGTCCTGACTCTGCAGGGCCATGTCCTGGTCTGCTTTCCACTTGAAGCTCTGCCCCAAGCCACTGCTGCTGAGAAGTGTCCCACCATTGCACGATTTTGTGGCAGAAAACTGTCCGTTTAGAAAAATTTAGCTAAAATGTCCTTTTTTGGCTGAGTCAGGGCTTCAGCAGCACATGTTGCCTCCCAGACCTTGTGCATGGTTCGTACTGTAGCATCTGTCTGTGCTTTTGGGAGTGGAGAAGGTGACTCATCCCAGGGGAAAAGGTCCCCAGTTGGTAGCCGACCTTCCCTGCCGCAGGTCCTGGCTGTCCAGAGATGGAGCAGCAGAGCTGAAAATGCTGGTGTGTCTGGAGGAACTGGCTTTGTTTCTCTCCTGAAAAATCACTCGGTACACTGGGGGTGTCCACGCTCCCCTCCCATCCTGGGACATCGCCCGAGGCGGCTGCAGCCACCTCCTCTCCCGTCCCCGGTGGGTTTGATGAAGTGGAGCAGAGAATCGTCCCCTCTTCACACATGAGAGATCAGAGCGGGCGGGTGTGAGCTGCCGGCCCCGCGCTGGAGGGGTGGCGAGGAGGAGGAGGAGGAGGAGGAGGAGGGCAGCGGCAGTGCTGGGCACCGGCCGTGGCGGGGGGCAGAGGGCACGGTCGGGGGTGCGGGTGCTGCCACGGGCACTGACGTTCCCTTGTCTCACAGGCTGCAGCGGGAGCTGAGCTGAGCTGGCCGGCGGCACCTCCCCACCCCGCGGCGAGGCTGTAGCCGAAAGCACTGGTAAGGCATCGCCGATGGCCCGGGGAGGGGGAACCAGGCCACTTTACCTGCCGGGGGGGCTCAGATCTGGGGCCCTGGCTGCGCTGCCACAGCCGATTTGGCCCTTGAGCATCTGTGGGTGGGCTGGGGGCTGGGTGCAGGTGCCAAAGGCTGAACCCTCCTGGGTGTTCGCCGAGGCGTTGCCAGCCCGGGGGGCAGAGCTGAGGCCTCGCAGCTCATGACGGTGGTGGTTCACAATGTGCTGCTGGCACTGACCCCCCGGAGTGGAAAGCAGGGAGTTCCTGCAGGCTGCGACGTGCCCGGGGTGTTAATCCCCGCCGCAGGAAAGCTGCCTCGTCCGCTGCCTCGCATCAGTCAGAGCGAGCACGGGAATGCTGGCCCTGCTCCAGCCTGCCACACCAGCCTTGGGAGGGGGAGTAGGGAAGCCCTGCTGGAAACCAAGGCACTGGCTGGGGTGGGGAGTGATGCTGAGCCCCCCATCCCAGCACTGTTGACTGGGAAAAGCAAGGGAGCAGGGAAATATCCCACTGGGTGTTGGACAGGCTGCCCTGGCTGGATGCTGGCGGTGCTGAACATCCCTGCAGCCTGCTGCGTGTGGAAATGCTGTCTTTATTAGACATAAATTTATTAGACATAAACACAGCACAGCTGCTGGCCATGGGTATTTTTTGCAGTCTGGCTGCTGTAGTGCTGTCCCACAGCCCCCAGTGATGCTGCTGGGGTGTGCTGGGAGCTGCCACATTGGGTGGTGGGTTCACCCCCTTCATTGTCTGCCCTTTGACTCTGGGGGAGTTCATCAGTGGCTCTGCTGGAAGCAGAGGGGTCTCTCCCTGGTGCCTCCCAGGACCTGAGTGCACAGCACATTCCTGCTGTCATTAATCACTCCTTTACCAGGCTCTTGCACAATCCTGCATTCTCCCAGGGGAATGTGCACCCTTTCCTCCCTGGCTGCCAAGGGGATATTGGGGTCACAGGGTATTTCTCAGGCCCCCTCTCCTCCCTGTGGACAGGTGGAGAGCCACAGGGCTAAAGCCATGTGGTCCTGTGGGCTGAGTTACCTGGAACTCAAGAGTGGGGATGGTGCAAGGCTGCCAGTGCCTCTGGGCACAGTTTGGGGTTGCCAGCCTGCATTTTGCACTAGCCAAGTCGAAGCAAGAGCGTGCAGGTATTTATGTGCAAAGCAACAGGAGAGCATGGAGCAGAGCTCGCTGCTCTGCAGCCCCTTCCCCAGAGGACCATGGGTTCATGCCTCCTGCTCCTCCTCCTGCACTGGGCCCCGTTGGAGCATCATGTCCTGGTGACCAGGACACCCAGCAAAGCCCTTGCCCAGGGGGGTCAGCACTCTGGTGCAGGGTGGGAGCTCTGATCTCCCTACCCAAACCACTGCACAGGAGGGATGATCTCACAGTCTGTAGCATCCCTGGCTGGGACATGCCTGGGAGATGCACATCCTGTGCCCGCAGGCTCACGGGTGTGAAGGCAAGGACTCGCCTGCTTTGGGGAAGTGCCTGGGGATCCACTCTCCCATCTCTGTGCTGTGGTCCTGGCTAATCTCTGGCCATATTGAGTATTTTATACTCTGATTTTCTCAGCATGCTGACAAATCCTTTGCTGACCCAGGCTGGGTGTGCTCAGGGGACACTTGTGTCCCCGAAGTGCTGCTAAATCCGCTGCCCCAGCCAGGGAGTTTTCCTGCCTGGGGAAGTGCTGTTTCCAGGGGAAACTCTGAGCGGCTCTGCCCTTGCTCACGGTCGCGTGGGCAGTCACAAGCCACACGGTCACAGCCCCACTGTGCCCCCACTTTCCTCCCTGCACTGCTGCTGCCATCCCGGGAGTGCCAGTGGGAACTGGAGCTCTGGGCAGAGGTGAGAGAGGGGCTTGCTGGGGATGGGGTGGTGGGGGCTTCTTCTCTTTGCTTCTAAGGTCCTGCTTTCCCCTGCAGTTCTGCTTTAGTATCTTTGGCACCAGGCTTTTAAAGTGCATTTATTTACGGGACAGACACCCTCCCCCCTGGCTGAAGGATCTGCCTCTGGATTGTTGGCAGTGACAATTTGCCAGTGCAAAGCTTATATTTGACCTTTCTTTGCTTTGAGAACCCCGAAGTCCAGGACAGATACACATGGGCTGGGTCCCGTGGCAGATAGAGGCATTGGTCCTTCCTTGTTCCCACATCCATAGGAGGAAGGACAGCTCTTCTCCCCACTGGAGTGGCTGCTGGAGTCATACCTAGCAGTTTATTCCAATTCCTAAAAAATCAGTTTGTTCCAATTCCCTGACCCTGGCAGGGTCTGATCCTGCCAGCACGGGTCACACCAGGACACTGCTTGTGTACATTGCTTGTACAGTGTGAGAGCTGGAAAAGAGTGGATGGAAGTTGTGTCTTCTGGGAAATAAGCCCCGAGCACTGTGAGGAGGGGAGCTGGGAGGGGAGCAGAGCTTGTGCCTGGCACCCCTAAGCTTCTCCATGGCAGGAGCCAGGGGCTCTGCCCCACTGACACTGGGGCTGTGCAGGCTGCTGGGGCTGCCCGTGGCTCTGGCCCTGCTCGTGAGGGTTTGGCCTGAGTTCTCTTCAAAGCTGGGCTAGAAAAACCCCTGGTACAGCCTCACTAGTGGCTGCATCCAGGTCCCACACCCCACAGGCAGTGGCTGCCTCCTCTGCTGCTTCCCTGCTGCTATGTTCTTATCAGAGATAGTCTCCTCCCTGGTTGTCTCCACCTCCCTTTTCTCTCCTGCCATGCGTGATCTAGCCTAAATATTTCCTTCCATAGCTTCAGGACACTGCTGGGTATCCTGCCATCTTTGGAGACTGCAAATAATTCCCTTCCTTCATTTATATCATTACCTTGAAGGTATTTATAGAGTGTGATCTTGAGTGGAAAGGAAGGCTATATATATAAACTATTTGACTATATATAAAGCTGAGATCCCTTGGTCCTTAGCTCTGAGCTGCCTGAAACTGCTCCTGATTTAAGCTTTTATCCTGTTTGCTGCATGTTTTGGACTTCAAAGGTACATGTTCAGCAATTAAATCCCCATCCTGAGCCAGCAGTGATGCAGCTGTGGGTTCTCCAAATTTCTGCTGTCACAGTAATCCAAGCACGTGGATATTTGTCTGTGTCTTGTTTTCTCCTGTCCACACCCTGGTACAAACTCTCATGCACGAGGAAACGCATCTGGGTGGGACTGAGCTCCATCCCACAGCGGGTGCCTGGCCCCAGAGCTGCTGCACTCTCGACCACAGGTCCAGGCTCCACGCTCAGCATCCTCGCTCCACATTCCCAGGGCTCAGTGTGCTTCCCTCCGCTCCCAAAGCGTGTCCTGAAAACTCCACTCCTGGTGTTTCACTGGCTGCTGTGGCCACACAGGAGGTGGCTCAGTGCTACAGAGGGGTGATGCTGTCCCAGGGCAAGGGCAGGGTGGCCAGACTTCCCGGCAGCTGATGCTTGAACAGACTCCAGAGGTTGTTTCGTTTCCTGGTGGGCAGGCATCTGTCACCCAGACCCTGGAGAGCGACTTCTGCTTAATAATTGTAATAATAATAATTACAACGATAATAACAGAGGTCCTCTGCGTGTCTGTGTCTCCTCCAGCCCAGGACCATGGGGAGCAGTAAGAGCAAGCCCAAAGACCCCAGCCAGCGCCGGCGCAGCCTGGAGCCCACCGACAACACCCACCATGGGGGTTACCCGGCCTCGCAGACGCCCAGCAAGGCGGCAGCCCCCGATGCCCACCGCACCCCCAGCCGTGCCTTCGGGACCATGGCTGCTGAACCCAAGCTCTTTGGAGGCTTCAACACCTCTGACACGGTCACCTCTCCGCAGCGTGCTGGGGCGCTGGCTGGTTGGTGTGGGCTGGGGCTCGGCAGGGCGGGGAGGGGCTCGGTTGGGTCTGTGGGCTCGGGGCCAGCTTCTTGGGGTCTTCTGCTTTTGAGGGACTCTGTGCTTGGGGGAGAAGCAGATCTGTGTGTTGTTGGCCCGTGGGAGGATGGTGGGAGAGGGAGGTCCCTGGTGAGGGGCACCCCTGCAGCAGCACCCGTGGCTGTGCCCCTCCTGAGAGCTCTGTGTCTCAGGTGGAGTCACCACCTTCGTGGCCCTCTATGACTACGAGTCCCGGACGGAAACAGACTTGTCCTTCAAGAAAGGAGAGCGCCTGCAAATCGTCAACAACACGTGAGTGTCCCCATCCCTGTCCCTGCAGCCACACCCATGGGATGAGCTGCCATCTCTGTCCCTCCTGTGGAGCCCCCAGCCCAGCAGGACCAGCTCTCCCAGGGGTGGGGGGTCAGAGAGAGAGCCCCCAAATGTGCATGGACACAGTGACTTGTCCAAGGACACTGATGCTAGAAGCAATCATTTGCCTGCTTCCTCATCCTCCTGGCCCTGCTGCTGGTCACTGTGGCCTGGCAGCCTTGTCACCAAGCTGCCTCCTCAGCTTGCTGGCCAGTCTGTGCCCTCCAACACAGGGCCATGTCCCCACTGGTCCCCCGTCCTCATCCATGCTCAGCTCCCTCTCATTTGCCTGGACAGATTCCTCAACTTCACAGGTGCTTTCCCCTGTGCTTGCAAGCTGTCTCTGGTCTCACCTTCTCTCTTGCCTCTTCTTTCTCTCCCTCCATGCTGTCACTTAGGAGGAAAGTGGATGTCAGGTGTGTATGGCACATTATTACTGTTATTATTAATGATCTACATGATCAAAACCCATCTGCTGCCCACATTAGAGCAGGTTGGTTGGAGCAGGGCTGGGAGGAGATGGTTTACCGATGGTTTTGTGGTCAGTTGGGTTCGTTTTCCTTGAGCAACTGGGGCAGAGCAGGGAGTCCCTTGCCATGCTGGGGAACTGTTCCATCCAGAGCTGTGTCTGCACCTGGGAGCTCTGAACCTGGCCCCTTTCTTTGTCTGTGCCTGGCTCCCCTCTGCAGTTCCTTTCCAGTTGGCTCTTCACTTCCTCCTGTCCTTTTTTGCCCTTTTTTTTTTTTTTCATTTTTTAATTATACTTTTATTTTTCATGACTGACTCTGGGGACTCAGACATGTCCTTAGGAGTCTGACTCCCTGGTTTGCTCCCCGTCCTGGTCACCACAGCACATACATCATGTGCTGTGTAGAGCAGGGCAGCGTGGCCAGCTGGAAGATGCTCCTAAACATGATCCTGTATTATTAAATCCATGTGTGGTCTGTCCTAACATGGTACACATGGTCTGGAGCCTGGCTGGCAGAGCCAGTGTCTCCAGGCATGGAGCTGTCACAGGGTCCCAAGGGTCTGCAGCTCCCATTCCCCTCCACTGCTGCCTTCCAACCTGGGCACCCAAAACAGCTTTGCAAGGTCAAAGAGTGGAAAGGCGAGGGAACACCCTGGGAGTGAGATTTCTCCTGCAATGCTCGGGCGGTGTTGCACAAACATGTTTTCAATCTGATCCTTGTTCTCATTGTTCCAGTGCTGTTTATTAATGGTGATTTGTTTCATCCGTGAAGTCCAGGATGCTCAGGGCTTCAATGCTACAGGAAAAGCCTGAATTTGGGGGTTTTGGGGCTTCTTACTTTCAGCCTCAGCAGTGTAAGAGCCCTATGCTTGAGTTTGGGCTGTTGCAAAGTGAGCTCTGCTCGTGGAGGTCCAGACCAGGCCCATATATGTGGGTTTTTTCTTTACACCTCATATCACTTCTGAGATTTCCACACTTTTTTTTTCCTCTGCTTCTATTTATCAGTCAGAGGGAAGGGTCAAGCTGTGATGGGCTCTGCAGCATCCTGGGGAGCAAAAGGGCTTCGTTTGGTGACACAGCCCTTTGGTGGAGGGTGCAGGATGTAGCTGCTGACCTTCCCAGTGTCTGTGTGGGTGGGATGTCCACAGGGAGAGAGGCAGTGGAGGAAGCTGGGCAGTTTGTGCAGTGCTCAGGGCGTGAATCACTCTTCTCATTGAGTTCCCAGAGATGCTTGAGCAGTCTGGGAACAGCTCAAGCTGCTGCACTTTGGAGACAGCAACAGGCAGGCGTGTGATGTCCCCTTCCTCTAGGCTCCCTGGCAGGGCATCCCTGGAGCTGTGGGGAGGGTCAGTCTGGGAAGGGCTGGCAGGTCCTGGGCACAGCAGGAGCCCATGGCCATAGTGGCTTTGCAGGGTGGTGGCAGGTTTTGGCTGCTCTGACTTAACCAGGGTTGTGCAGGACAGAAGGAGAAGCTTCCACATCACTGAGATCCCTGCTCCAGGTCAGCCTCCCAATCCCCCCCAGTGCAGAAAGGCTCTCGTGGTCCCATTTCCAGTGGGAGGAGGTCTCCTCCCAGCCAGCTGGCAGCCAGCAGGGATGTGGTGGGATATTTTGGGTAAGATTGTGCAGGGAATTGTTGAAATGCTTTGTTTTGATGATGATGATTATTATTATTTTTTTCCCCGCTGAGATATTTTTGGAATAGTTTGTTTTTGCTGAATTCCCAGCTTGCAGCCTTGCAGCCCAAGCTGGAATGAAGCCACGAGTCAAAAGCTGGGCATTTTTCAAGCAGATGTTTACTCTGGTCCTGTGGGAAAGAGCCCAACCAGCTTTCAGAGCCACCTCAGTAAAGGTGACTGGGGCAGCAGCCCTGGCTGGGGAGCCCAAGCTGCCTGCCAAGCACTGTGCTGGGGCTGGGAGAGGCTGAAGTGCCATCCAGGGCTGCTGCCAGGCTGGTCCAGGGGCAAAGCCCAGCTCTGTGGGTGGGAGGAGAGGCCTGGAAGGTCCCTGCTGTCCTCTGCCCCACCGACACCACTGTGGGGAGCTGGGGGCCGTGTCTGGGTTCTCCAGGACACTTGGAAGCATCGCTGGTTTAGCTGCTGGTGTGTCTGGAGTGAGGATGGAGGTTTACACATCTGCAGGGTCAGGGATGGGTCTGGATGTGGTCTGATGAGCCCTGCAGTGGTGGCTGAGGTTATTAGTGTTTTTCTGTAATGTGTTTGTGGAGGTTGTCCTGCCAAGTTCCTGCATCCTTACGGGGCTGTTCCCACGAATCTGCAGTTTTCCCGTAGCCTCGTCTCCCTTGTGGTCAGGATGAGTTTGGTGACTCTATCTTTGATGGGCAAGAAGATGCAGGTGGTGGGAGGAAGAGCCCTGCTGTCTGCAGGAAGGGGAAGCCGCCTCCTGCCGTCCTCTTGTTCCTCTCTATTCATTGTCCTCTCCAGCCCTGTCTGGAGCAGGAGCTGGTGGGCAGGAGGACAGAGTGGGGAAGAGACTCCAGCTCCTGGGGACGTGCCTGGGGCTGCTGATCCTGGGGCTGGAGGGATGGATGGTGGCTAAGCCCCAGGTTTTTGGGGACAACAAGTCACACTCATGGTTGTGCAGGCAGAGCCCGCCCTTTGTGGGACTGCACAAAGCTCAGGTCAGGGCTGCAGCCACGTGGGGTGCCCATCCTGAGGCTGTGAGCAGGGCACCCAGGCTGGACAGATCCCGCTGCATCCAGACTGGGCATCACTGCTGGGCAGGGCTCACCCCCTGCCCAAACCTCAGCCCCTTCCTGTTGCTTTTCTGCAGCCTGTATTTAACTAACTCTCCTGGGTTTTCCTGGTGCCTTTGTTAATTGCTGCCATCCTTCTGTTGCTTCTCCCGGTTTCTCCTCCCTTCCCTCTCCTGCTGCTCCCCCCTGTCCTGCTGCTGGGACCCCCAATGCCTCACAACCTCCAGCCAGACCCCGTTCAGGTGGCTCTGAAGGTATTCTGGCTCATGGGCTGCCCTGCCCAGTTTAAGTTTAAAGTTCATCCCGTATGCAAATGGGTGGCCCCACTAATAAGAGCTCACCCTGACAGAGCCATGGGCAGGGGCTGGCAGCAGGAGCACTCCTGGCTGGCGTCTGGCTGTGGGCTGGGGCTGCAGGGCTGTTCCCCTTCCCAGCAGGGCTCTGTGCTGGCTCGTCCTCCCCCGGTGCCTGTGGGCGGGTGAGGGGCTGGCCGGGGGGCTCCTGGCTTCACACTGAGTGTGTTTTGGTTCTCTTGCAGGGAAGGTGACTGGTGGCTGGCTCATTCCCTCACTACAGGACAGACGGGCTACATCCCCAGTAACTATGTCGCGCCCTCAGACTCCATCCAGGCTGAAGAGTAATTGCCATCTTTTAGACAGTTTAAAAAAGAGCGATAGCAAACTCACCCCGAGTGTTCCTCCCTGCCCCTGCCCCGCTCCTGGGGGAAGCCTTCCTCTTTGCTGTTTTCCCCTTTGAGTGTGCAAACCCCGTAAATGTTTTCCAGCCTTCCTTTAAGGCCCACGAGTGCAGTGGTGCAGTGTGCTTGCGCGGTGGAGGGGGGAGCATAGTGGGGCTGTGGATGCTTTTGGTCTGGTTTTTGTGGAGAGCCTGGGGAAGAGAAGGCTCCGTTGCACCCTTCCAGGACTTAAAGGGGGCTCATAAAAGAGAGAGAGAGTGACTTTTTACATGGGTAGAGGGGCCTGTGAGAGGACAAGAGGGAATGGTTTTAAACTAAAAGAGGAGAGATTTAGATTAGATGTTAGGAAGAAGTTCTTCCCTGTGAGGGTGGTGAGGGACTGGCACAGGTTGCCCAGAGAAGCTGTGGCTGCCTCATCCCTGGAAGTCTTCGTGGCCAGATTAGATGAGGCTTTGAACAACGTGGTCTAGGAGAAGGTGTGGCAGGAAGGTTCCAGGCCCCATGGCAGGAGGTTTGGAATGAGGTGATCTTTAAGGTCCCTTCCAACCCAAACTGTTCTGTTTCTATGATTTTACTCCTCCACATGGACACACTGCTGGCTCCACCTGTGCAGATCAGGCTGAGTGTGGAGGGAGCTGTCACACAGGGAGAGCAGGCAGGGGAAAAGCCAGATGTATGTCTCAGAGCAGGAGGTGCCAGCTATGTCCCTTTCCCAGCCAGCAGCGTGGTATCCCTCAGCAAGACCTTGGGGGGCTTCAGGGATCCCGTTTGGGAAGGCTTTCAGAGTGAAGGTGTTCCAAGGCCTGTGGAGCAGGGTTGCTCCTTGGGCGATGCCCAGCCTGGGCTGTACAGGGACAAGGCACACCCTGAGGCACCCAAGCCCAGAGATGCAGCCCCTGGTCTCCAAAATCTGTGGTGTGGAGGCTGGGGCTGAGGCCCCTGCTTGGGCAGGCAGTGGAGGGGATGGGGAGGTGCCAGGTGCTGAGCTGCTGCCTTGCTCCTGCAGGTGGTATTTTGGGAAGATCACTCGCCGGGAGTCCGAGCGGCTGCTGCTCAACCCCGAAAACCCCCGAGGGACCTTCCTGGTCCGGGAGAGTGAGACCACAAAAGGTAAGAGGGTTTGGGGGGGGGGGCTGGCCTCAGAGAGACCCTCTCTAAAGAGTGTGGGGGTACCTTGAGTCCCCTCAGTCACTCTGTGGGATCCAAGTTCCCCAGCTTAGGCACGGGGGGAGAGAGAAGGAGAAAAGGTCATACCATATAGACAGGAGACGATGTTTGGCATAGCTGAGTGATGCCCCTCAGCATGGGCAGCCTCCTGGGATCTCCCCTGCCAGTGCTGATCCCCAGGGAGCCAGTGCTGCTGCCCCCATCACATCCCCAGTGACTGTGCTGAACACATGATTACACCACCGAGCCCATGGTCTGGGGGGGGACGTGGCCACTTCTCTCCCACCACTGCCTGCCTGGCAGGCGCCCTTCAGAGAGATGGTTCAGCTCATGGCAGGGTGGGAGCTGGGAGCCTCTCCATCTCTAGCAGGACCACCTGTCAGGATGCTCTTTTTTCCTGTTTTGTTTCTTTACCCCCAAGTAGGTTTTTTTGGTTTTTCCTGGTCCCTCTGTAGTGGCAGTATCTTGAACATGTGCTTCCTGGGCAGGCAGGCTGAGGGAGCAATGAACTTTAATCCTTCTTTCAAGTCTGACGACTCTTTATGCTTGTTTTATATCTCCCAAAAGTGTGAGTTGTGATCTTTGAGGTTTGACTGCCTGAGGATGCTGTTTCTTACCTGAAAACGTGGCTTAGTTTGGCTCCAAATGCACCTTTGGGAAAAGCCCCTTGATGTGCCTCTCTGTTTTTATGCCTTGAACTTATCACTAGCTATTTTATTCTGGTGGAAGCAGCTCATTCAAGCAGCAGCATAAATCTCTGTCTCTGCTCTCTGTGGCCCCAGCAGCACTGTGTTGTTCTTGTGTGGGCAGAGCAGAGCCAAGATCCCAAAGGGGTATTTGTGGAGGAGGGAATTAGGCCCACGAGCCCTTGGCTCCCCTCTGAGATGCTGAGATGTAGAGGTGGTGGGTCAGGAGCTCCCCCAGCCTGCCTCCCATTGGTCCTATCTCCTGCTGCAGAGAAGGACCTGACAGGTCTAGGGACTGGGGGACAATGACCCTGGTTAGCACATTCCATAGGATGGCTGGTGGCAAGGCTTGGCAGAGCTGCTGTGCAAGCAGGGGGCAGCTGGAGGTTGTGATTGCATGTTGTGGCTGTAGCCAGGGGTATGTGCCATCCCTCCCTGGCACCAGGTGCCAGCTGGTGCATCCAGGAGCTGCTCCCCATCCTCTTCTTTGGGTGACAGAGGGAGCCTGCATGCCCAGTGCTGCCTCCTCCACGCCCACCCTCCGTGGGACCCCACGGGGAGCTCCTGCCTGCAGCACATCTCCCCCAGCCCCTTGCTCCTGCCCACAGGTGCCTACTGCCTCTCTGTCTCCGACTTCGACAACGCCAAGGGGCTCAACGTGAAGCACTACAAGATCCGCAAGCTGGACAGCGGTGGCTTCTACATCACCTCGCGCACCCAGTTCAACAGCCTGCAGCAGCTGGTGGCCTACTACTCCAGTGGGTAGCCATGCGGGGTCCCCTTGGGGTCTGGTGGCACCCGGGGTGATGTGCCTGCTCTTGCTGCAGGGCAGGTGCTGTTGGGAAGCCAGCGCAGGGCTGGGGAACCCCAAACCAGTTGTGTGGGACCCTGGTGAAAAGCTGCCTGGGTTTTAGGGCACAGGGTTTGGGTACTGGTCCCCGAGGAGGGGAGGAGGTGGGGTAAAGACATCACGTGCCTAAAAGCCCAAGTGTCACCTTGCTGTTGTCCCCTCCTGTACTAGAACACGCCGATGGCTTGTGCCACCGTCTCACCAACGTCTGCCCCACATCCAAGCCCCAGACCCAAGGACTTGCCAAAGATGCTTGGGAAATCCCCCGGGAATCGCTGCGGCTGGAGGTCAAGCTGGGACAGGGCTGCTTCGGAGAGGTGTGGATGGGTAAGGAGCATTCCCTCCCTGCTGTCCCCTCCCTGTCACCGCCTGCATCCCGTCCCCAGCCATCTGCAGGTGCCCGGAGGCTGCAGTGGGGTGGGGGAGCAGGTGAGGGACACGGCCCCCTGTCCTATATGTGTGTCCTGAGCCGCGTGTCCTGTGCCACAGGGACCTGGAATGGCACCACCCGGGTGGCCATCAAGACACTGAAGCCTGGCACCATGTCCCCAGAGGCCTTCCTGCAGGAAGCCCAGGTGATGAAGAAGCTCCGGCACGAGAAGCTGGTTCAGCTCTACGCCGTGGTTTCAGAGGAGCCCATTTACATTGTCACCGAGTACATGAGCAAGGGTGAGCACAGGAGGGACACTGAGGGTGTGGCTGAGGGGCTCTGCTCCTCCACATTGCTCTGACCATGGTCTTCCTCACAGGGAGCCTTCTGGACTTCCTGAAGGGTGAGATGGGCAAGTACCTGCGGCTGCCCCAGCTCGTGGATATGGCAGCTCAGGTGGGTTTATGCATCCCTGGGTGTCCTGCATCCCCTTCCAAGGGTGCTGGCTGCCTGAGCCCCTCACTGGGCTGTCACAGCTGTCACTGGTCAGCTATTGGGGTGTTGTGCAGCCTTGCTTGGGTGGGTGCTGTGGTCCCCACTGGGTCTCAGCCTGGAGCTGGGTTGCAGTCTGGGACCATCGTTTTGCTCATTCCTGTTGCCACTGGCTCTCCCTGGCCAGCAAACCCGTGTCTTCATGGGGTTGTTTGAGCAGCTGGTTGTTCCCACACCCCAGCTGGGTGCCACTGCAGAGCTGTTCCCCTCTTTGCTGCTGGGCACTCCCCTGGGACCCTCGTGTCCCCCTGTCAGCCTCGATGCCCCATGTGCTGGTCCCCACAGATCGCATCCGGTATGGCCTATGTGGAGAGGATGAACTATGTGCACCGGGATCTGCGGGCAGCCAACATCCTCGTGGGGGAGAACCTGGTGTGCAAAGTGGCTGACTTTGGCTTGGCTCGTCTCATCGAGGACAACGAGTACACTGCTCGTCAAGGTGCGTGTCCCTCGAGGTGCCCAGGCAGGTGGCACCAGAGCAGTGGCCACTGGTCCCCAGAGGTGTGCGTTGTGTCTGGAGCCGACACGTGGCTCTGACTGCACAGAGACACTCGTGGCCCCACACACCCCCTCTCCATCCAGGTGCAAAGTTCCCCATCAAGTGGACGGCCCCTGAAGCAGCTCTGTATGGAAGGTTCACCATCAAGTCAGATGTCTGGTCCTTCGGCATCCTTTTGACCGAACTGACCACCAAGGGCAGAGTGCCGTACCCAGGTGAGGGCTGGCACCCACCAGCAGAAGCCCTGTCCCTACTGCAGTACCCAATGCCAGCTGCTCATGCCCAGAGCTTACTCCTGGTACTCCGTGGCCCTCAGAGCCATCCTTGTGGAGTAACAAACTGATGCAAAGTTTCTCCTGCCCTTTGGGGCTGCACTGCCCCTTCCCAGGTTGGATCCTCCCGACTGGGGTGAGCAGAGATTGGCCAGGATGCAAGGTGCCAGCCACCCTGTCCCGCTCTAGCAAAGAGCAAGGTGACAGGCTGGCAGGGACAAGGTGCTCTTGGGCTGGGGGGATCTCTCTCTCCGTGGGTCACTGGGGTTGCCCCTGAGGCGTGTCCCAGCACGGCACCCTTGGTGTGTCCCCCGGGACAGGCGCAGTGCAGGACCTGGCCCGGCTCTGATCAATGCTGTGTCTCCTCTGGCACGCAGGGATGGTGAACCGGGAGGTGCTGGATCAGGTGGAGCGAGGGTACCGCATGCCCTGCCCGCCCGAGTGCCCAGAGTCCCTGCACGACCTCATGTGCCAGTGCTGGCGGAAGGACCCGGAGGAGCGACCCACCTTCGAGTACCTGCAGGCTTTCCTGGAGGACTACTTCACCTCGACAGAGCCCCAGTACCAGCCCGGCGAGAACCTATAGACCTGGAGTTCCTCCTGGCACCAGGGACGCTGCCGTCCTCGCCGCAGGGCACCGAGGGCTGGCCTCCCCACCGAGGGGCTGTTTTTGTGGAGCAGCCCTGGAGCAGGACGGGGCGTTGTCTGCGGATGCAGCCCGGGGAGGTGCTGGGTCCCCCCATTGCTCATTGAGACTTGTGGCCCGTGTGTAGAAGCGGCGCTGTCCCGCTGGAGAGAGGGGCCCACGGGCGCCGGCGGAGCTGGCTCGGGAGGGCGAGCAGAGCATCTCCTGCCAAGAGACTTGGCTTTTGGGAGACTTTTCCCCCCTACAGCTCTGGGATGAGCCTGGAGGGATTGGGGGACGGCATCACTCCACCTCAGACACATGGCCCCAGTCTCCTGCACCCCCTTTCTAAATCAGCACAAATTTCCCTGCCTCTTCACCCTCTCACTGTCTTCCCCTTGGCACCAGTTCCCCTGAGGATGCTGGCAGAGACATTTCACCACAGAATCGGAATCACAGAATGCTGAGTTGGAAGGGACCAGTAAGGACCAGTGAGTCCAGCTCTTAAGTGAATGGCCCACACGGAGATCAAACCCACGACCTTGGTGTTATTGGCTCCATGCTCTAACCAACTGAGCTAAGCTCAGTGTCATGATGGCACAATCCCTGGCTGGTTCGAAGGGGGTGATGCGTGGTGACAGCGTGGGATGGCAGCAGAACTCTGGTGGTCCCTCTGGCCTTGCCATGACCTCAGTGGCTAGTGGGTTCTGGAACCATGAAATGTGACTGCTCGTGGCTCTGGTGATGGACACTGTCCTATAGGAGCACCTGGACACACAATCAAATCTTCCAGCTGTGTCTGTTCCCCAGGGGACATGTCTCTCCTCTCCTGGGAGTGGCACAGGGGATGCTGACAGAGCCCTCGCCCTGTCTGCAGCCAGCCCTGCTGCCCTGCTGTGTTTTCTCCCACCACACACTCCGGGTCTTCCAGCCACCTCCTTGTAAAGTGCCCCTCAGCCTCCACCCCTGGTTCTGCCACCAGCTGTCCCACCAGCAGAGTCCCCCAGGCTGGCCCTGCCACCAAATCCACTGCCACTGTGGGGGTTGGGTGCACGGCCCATGTAGCTGTTCAGGGTGTTGGGAGTGTTTTGGGGGAAATACTTGTCTTTCACAGATACTTTTGTTCACCTGGTACGTTTTTAGCTGGCTTCCCTTTACCCCTCATGTCTCAGCTGCCAGGTTGCAGCCCCCATGCAGCATCCCAAGCCACATGCCACCATCCCAGAGAAGAATCCTGGGAAGTGCTGTGCCACATTTGCATCCTCATCTCCCCCCTGCTTGCTCCCAAAGTCCTCAGCCGTGTTTCAGAGGTGGGTGACTATCCCTGCCCAGCTTTGCCCCACACATATCCCGTGGGGCCGATTCCCAGACTCTGTGTGGCAAATCCCAGTCCCTGCCCTCTTCCACTCAACACCTGCTTGTACATAACCCTCGAGTGGTCCCCACACCCTCCCAGACCTCGATTTCATTGCATGGGTTGGTTTTCCCCCTCCTGTGGCTGTATCCAGCTGGAAACCCTTCACTGTGGTGGTTCACAAAGCTTCTCTCCCTCACCTCTTGGGTGCCAGCCCCACTCACTCAGAAGGACCTGGGGGGTCTTCAGATGCTCTCCTGGGCCATGGTGGGATGGGGGCTTGGGGAGTGCTGCAGGGCAGGAGTCCTGGGGGGAAGGACCCAGAGAGGGGAGCCAGTGGCTTCACCCACCTCTCAGTCCTGTGGGATGGGCTGTCCCTCCAGCACAGCCTCCTCACAGACAACAGACCCAACCCACCTCTCACCAGTCCCTGCCATGGTACCAGTGTCCCAGGAAAGCTGGGTGGGAGCCCAGTGTGGGCAGGGGGTTGCCAAAAGCCCCACTCCAGATCTCCACCAGAGCAGAGTTTGGGCACAACACTGCTTCCCATTCACTCCCACAGCTCTCTGCACACTTATTTACGAACCAAGGACTTGGTTGGTTGGTTGGTTGGTTGGTTGGCTCCTTTTTTGAGTAAAACCTTCAAAATCAGCTTGATCAGGCTCTTCAGCTGGATGGAGAGATCCTGCTGGCTTGAAGAACAGCAACTGGATTAATGGATTTGTTTTTAAATCATTTCGAAAGTTGGAGCCTTTTCTCCCCCCCTCCCTTCCTTACAGGTTTCTGTGTTTGAGTAGGGTCTCCCCAAACCTTGATGTTTTGGGTCTTCCCCTGTTTGCAGCCCTTTGGGATGGGCAGCTGCCCTGTCCCCATTGGCGCTGCCAGGGACACCCTGTCCCTTGGCAGCCCTTCCGAGGGGTGGACTGTGCCCATGGTCTGTGCCACAGCTCTGCCTGAATTCCACAAAATCCCCATCCCTGGGAGAAGCCTCTGACAACTGTAACATGCAGAAGCCAGATTTGGTCTGGAAGCTGGGGAGAGAGAAGGCAGGCACATGAGTTCAGTTTGGGTGTCTGTGGCACGTGCAGGGTCTCGTGTGGGTGCAGGGGGACGGGAATGGGCCTCACCCGGCAGGTCCAGGCTCTGGCTCTCCCTGGAAGCAGCAGGTGCAAGGAGCGCCCCGGGCTGGCTTAATTCCCCATGGATTTCGGGAAGCTCTGCCAGAGGAGATGTGCTGGGTTCATTTCAGGGCAGAAGACAGTAAGGCAATGCCAGAGGAGCCCTCCTGCACAGGGCTGTGTGTCCATCGTGGTTCTGTGCAGCGGCTCTGCTGGGACTCAGCATCTCCGGACTCGCCACCGCGACCGGCAGGGCCTGGAGGCCCCGGGGATCCAGAGCCTCCCCTCCACCCCCAGTGTTGGCTGGCAGTTTATTTGTTAAGCCAATAAACTCCAGAGGGGAGCCCCCACCTAAGGATGCTTTTTGGCTTCCTGGGCACCATCAAATCCTGCAAGTCATTCTCCTCTGCTGTTATAATTTTTTTACACAGTCTTTTGTAAAAGATCTCCAACCGACTATGCAGAGAACATGTGGATCTGTGTCTCTCCCCAGCTCCCCTCACCTGCCTTTTTTGGTGTCTAAGTAAAATATTTAGCTTTTCTTTTTTTTTTTTTATTTGTTTGGGTCTTTTTTTTTGGATAATAATAAAACTGGGGAAAAAACCTGAAAAGGTCCAGCTTTGTGGGTGGGGGGGGGTGGAGATGCTTTGAAACTCTAACGTGGATGTAAATACTTTGCAATTTGATAATTAAATACAAACAGACCTCACAAAACAAAAGTGTAACTCATGTGTGAGGGGCCTTGTGAGCTCCTTAGCACCTGTGATGGAGGAGCTGCTGGATCCTGGAGCTTGTGCAGGGCCAATGGGAGGGTCCTGCCGGCCCCCAGAGGCTGGGCTGGAGGGAACAGGGCAGGGGTAGTGCCCCATCAGCAGAATCTGCTTCAGCAGCAATCTCTGGGTGATTAGTGGGTGCTGACTGGGATGATTAAGTAATTGATAACATTTGGGAGTAGTAGGCTCTTTGAGAGCAGGATGGTTCGTGTTCCTCCTTCACCACTACCTTTATCATCCATGTGGTCTGTGGTGGCTTTAGTGCCCCAAGTCTCTGCTCTGGCTGCTCCCTCCATCTTGGACTGGTAAGTGACTCGGTCTTATCACCTTCAATGTGTAATGCTTTATGTGTTGTTTGTCTTTAAAAGAATTAAGTGATGGTGCTGGTCCCTTGGTCCCCCTGCAGTGTGTGGGCTCAGGGTGGGCTGGTCACCACAGGCAGCAGCCCTGAACTGCAAATCCTGAGTTGTGCTGAGGGTCTGGGGTCTCTCTCACAGCCCAGACCCAGCAGAAGGTCTCCTGAAGCTGGAGTGGGGTGGTGTTCATTAAAGGGTTGGCTCATGGCAGGGCTGTACCCCCATGTCAGGCTCTCAGGTCTTGCTGCCAGTGCCACCACAGCCCCTGGTGCTCACTGGTAGCAAGGGGTGAACAGGAGGCTGCCAGCACGTGTTGACTCAGAGGACACAGCCTGTCTCTGCCCTGCAACAAGATCTGCCTTTGCTTGAGGAGCAGCAAAACCCTCTCACCAGGGGTTAATCTCCAGGTTTGGGAGGGAAGGGCTAAAGTCCTTACCTGACTTCAGCTTACGTCCCACGGCTGGGAAATCAGCTGGTGCCAAAGGGCAATGCCAGGGCTCTGTGCCACTGAGTGATGTTTGTGGCTTCCCAGGGGTTTGGCTGGACCATTCCCAGGGTGACAGCATGAGGGGAGAGGCTGGAGGCCATGGAAGGCTGGTGCTATTGGGAGCAGGACTGCGCCTCTGGACTTGGTTGCCATCTCTGCATCTCTGTTTCTAAGGATTGGAGCCTGGGCTTTTTTCTGTATTTGTTTTTTCCCTTTACTGACCCTGCTGTGTCACTGATCTGTTATGTGACCTAGAAAAGAAAATGATCTCTCCTTCATATGGAAAGACAAAGAAACAGCTTAAGGCTCCTGCTCCCTGTATCTAGGAAGCATCAGGCAGATGGACACTGTAATTCAGCAAGGTGATGAGACTCGCTCTGTGCCAAAGTGTCAAGTGACACTTGCAGGCAGTGTCCAGGCTCAGTGGGGCCTGGCACAGCACAGCGGCTGTGTTTGAAATCCCACTGCTTTGAGTCCCCAGTGTAGCTGCCCGCCGGTGCAGTCCCCCCACATCCCCAGGGACAGAGCCACCCCACTGCTCTTCTGGCAGAGAAACTCCTCGAGAGCAGGGCCACAGCTCCGAGCGTCCCTGGGTGCAGCCAGCACACCCCTGGCCGGGAGCACAGGCTGTGTCTGCACGGGCTCGGCCCAATCTGCGGTGCACAGGCAGGGAAGCTGTGATGATGCTCTTCAGAAGCCATCGGGTCTGACCTGTTCTGCAGTCACAGGCTGGTTTTTCAATCTCTTTATAAGAGGACAAGCCAGGCATTAGCATGGGATGTGAGACCTGGTTGGGTTCCTCACTCTGCCTGAGGCTTTCTGTCTGACCATGACGAAGTTGCTTTAATTTTCTATCTTTAAAATGAAGATGGTATCTCAGGGCCCTCAAGAGGGTAAGAGAGTGTGTTGTGGAAGGCTATGTGCACATCAAAGAGTGCTCCTTCTCTGCATTTGGGGTGGGAGGCTTCTAACCCCATCAGTCTACCGAGAGCTCTCCTGCAGACTCCCTCTTTTGAAGTGCTTTTTACTCTGAGCTGGGTCTCACAGAAGGGAAGGCCCGCACTGCACCTTGTCTTGAACCCCATGTACAAAGCCAGGGCTTGCTCTCATCCAAAGGGCTGTCTGGCTTCGTGGCTAGGATTTATTTAAATTGCTGTAAAGTGCAATTTGGCTAGTGAGCAACAAAAAAGGACTCTTGACAGAACTGACTGCATTAGCTTAAGTACATTGAAACTTAAAAGTCACTCAGAGAACAGGCAAGAGTGAGTGCCCTCCCCTCTCCATTTATTTATGCTGATGTGACAGCTGCTGGGATTTCCCTCAGCCTGACAGGTGACAGAGCTGTCACATCTATTTCTGATGTGGCACACGCTTTTTTTAATCATGTAAACACTAATATGCCCTGAACTCTTTCCAACTTGGACCCGGGCTTCATGGCAAGGGTAGAGCAAGCCAGTGTCAGCTCCAGCAGCTCCCACACCCTGTGCCACTCTCGGGTGCTCCTGGGTGCTGTTGGATCTGACAGTCCTTCTCCCCCAGCTCTGCAGCCCAGGCTGGGAAGGGCTCACAGCACCACAGCTCAGCTGGGCTGCAGGCAGGTCTGTGCCCCGAGCAGAGGGACAGTTGGGGTTATGTGGTGTCGTGGGAGGGGCTTACTGAGCTCCCGGCAGACACTTTTACTGTCGGCACCAGGGATTAGTGGCTTCCAGGGCACAGCTCTGGGGGGTTATTTCATAAGCAGTAAGAGAAGGGGAAATCTGTCACGTAAGTGCAGAGATACACAGGAGGTGCTTCTGGCTGTGAGATGAGCCTGTTTAGGAATTGCCAGTCTGGTTCCCACTCTGCCCATGGTCAGGTTAACCAGTCAAGGAGAAGAATCAGTACTGGGAGCTACAGGGCAAACAGGCTCTGCCTCTTGCTGGAGACTGAGCTCCGGGGTTACTGTGCTGGGACCAGAACAATGCAGAAACACATGATTGCTGGGCTAAGGCATCCACAATGAGCAGCCAACACATCATGCTGGGCAGGAGGCCATAGACCAAAGTTTATAAAGCTTTATTAAACATTTTGAACAGCTGTGCAATGAACAAACAATACTCTGGAAGTTTCACAACCTCATAGCTTGAACTGCCTCAGGACAGCAACAGCCACTTCTGCTGTTCTCCAGCAGGAGACTGAAGGAAAGACAAACAGAGGGCAAAGGGGAGGGACACCTTTAAAGTTTAGAGACAAGTGTTTTGTGTCAACCTCTATGGCTTCTCACAAACCAACCTCTGCCCCACGCTTTAGGCTTGACCCACCACCACCTCAGCTGCTTGACATCCTTCTGCCAGAGAAGCTGGAGATATCAGGTGTTTTTCCAGCCTCAGCACTTCTCCAGTCAGTAGCACCCGCACCTTCTGTCACCTCTAGCCCAAAAACACTAACACTGAAAATGGTTGAAGCACTTACTGCTTCAAGCCATGCCTCCACCTCAGGACCCTCTCCTGCCCTGCCCACACCTGGACTTCTGGGCTAGCACAGGTTTTGTAGGGTGAAGTTCACAGTGGCTTCTAAAACCCCGTGTCTTACAGCACACCGGTTCTTTATCCCAACAGTCAATACCTTGGTAAACCCTGGACATCTAGGAGGAGGGGAAGAGAGAGTCTCTGCTGCCTGTGAGGCTTTATAAAAGCAGCAGCATAACTGAGGCTTTCAGGCTGGGATCATCTCAGAGCATATGGAGTTCAGAAAGCACTTGGGCAGTGCACACATCTCTTTGGCAGGCTGAGCAGGAGGAGGTGACTCAACTGCCTCTGGCCCCAGCAGCTTTTGGCCAAGTGCATCTGTGAGCTGTAGCATTTGCCCTTGATCAGCAAAGTGGAAAGGTGGCTCCCCACAGAGAGAGACTGAGAGAATCTTGTAGCTACTCGAGCAGGATCAGAGGGCCGAGAGCCCTGAGTTAGACCAGCGTGGCCTAATGCAGACCAGTGACACAACTCCACCACTGCCACCAGGGGCCAGTGGCTCGGGCCTTCAGCAGTTCTCTGTTGGGAGGGCTGGTGTCTGTTCCCGGTGATACGGGAAGGAAAAAAACCCACTTCTGCTTCTAAAAAAGCAGGTGGTGCTGCCAGAGTTCACACAGTAAACGAGTCGAATTTCACAGGCAGAGTGGGAGGAACCTGCCACTCTAGTCCACGCACAGTTACAGGAAACAGGCTGTCCTTATTCCAGTCCCATACCTAACACCCCCCTCCTCCCCAGCCCCACCCCCTATTTAAAAGCCAAACAAGAGCCCTCAGCAGACTGGAAGGTTATGGTTTTCTAGGTGCCCACTATGCTGGGATCGTGAGCTGATTCCGGCAACTGGGATCCTGTGCAGTGATACAAGAAGCAGTTCCCCCAGCAACTGTAGCAGATGAGGAATAGAGCTGCCAGGAAGACCAAGGCACAAATCGTGCAAGGTTTCCGTTCCAGGAGAAAACTGAGCAGGTAGAATCCCATGAACATTGAGTGACTGAACCACAAGGCTGGGTTGAGGGGCTTGGGTATGAGCAGGACAGGGAGCAACCACTGCAGGCAGTACATTGTGGCTGGCTGGGGTCTCGTGGCAGCAGCAGTCAGATGTGCTCCAGAACAGTCTCCAGCAACTCCTCTGGTGGGCAGGCTGTCTGCAGGGAGGGAAAAATGTCAGACTGTCAGAGAAACACAGCAAAAAAAAAAAATCAACTGACGTTCTCATACAGCTTCATTTACTCCCAAGCATCATATGCTGATGTTTGACCTCCCAGTACTAAATTCTGGTGTGTCTTGGAGCTGGTGGAAAGTTTCCTGCTTTCTGAACCACTCAGCTGGGGACAGGATTAGCTATTGCTGGTGTAGAAGCGTCTCCTGTGTGCTCTGTTTTTCAGGCTTTTACCCAGACTAACAATCGTGAGACCCTTTTAGCACAGTGCAGGAACAGAAAGGGAGAAGGGGAAATGAAAAGGCAAACAAGCTGCCACAGGCTTCCTATGCACATATTTACCCAAGGCCATCCAAAGACCTGAGTGACAGTAAAAAGAAAGGCAACTGAGGGGTAAAGGACTGGGTGCCACAGAGAAGTGTTAAGGAAGCATTGGTGTAGGAAGTGTCTAGGAATTGTTTAGCACACAGACTGCTTCCTCCCAGGCACAGATAATAGTCTTCCAGCAGGACAGCACAGCAGTCCAGCTACACGTGTAGCCACCCAGGAAAGCCCTGGCAGTGTCCAGGCTGTGAAACAAAGGGGGGAACAGTCCCTGCTTAAGGATTTATAATCCTCGCCAAACAGCTGAAGTCAGATAAGACAAAGTATGTGAATAGATCAAAGAGGGGATAGGCTCAAAATGGCAATTTCCATAAGTGCTGTAAACACAGGATTTCCTCACTTGGATTATTATAAAACCCTGTGGAAAAAGTGAGCTTTAAGGGCTTTCCTAAGCAGGGATGGCAGCACACTACAAGTCCAGAAAACCTGCTCCTACCTCTAGCAATCACCTCAACTACACTAAGCATGTGGGTTTGTTTTTCCTTCCGAAGCAGTGCAAACATCTTCAAGAATTTCAGATGGCTTTAAAAACAATAAATGCTTTACATGTATGTTTACAGGTCCTGAACTGTTGGAAGGGGGCAGTAGAGTGGAGCTCAGCAGTCTGGGATAGCAATAGCAGGGCAGGCTAGAAGGTATCAGTATGGTTGGGAGGGACTAACTGAAGTTATCCTTCAGTTTGTGCAGTAAACCCGTGAGAAGAGGGTACTCCTACCTTATCGCCCCAAAAAGGGGAAAAACCCCGCAGGGGAATGGTGGAAAAGGGAAGAGCCTGGGAAGCATGTTCTTCCCTGCTATCCTATAACACTTTATGATGACAGGAAGCAACACTGAAGGAAGCAGCTGCCAGCCAGGGCAGAGAAAGTCAGGCAAGAGGACAGCCTTGCAGGATGACATGGCCTCACCCCCACTAAGGGGAGTCTGGTCAGGACAGCTCCTGGCAGCAATCCTTTTATCTGCAAATACTCAGTGGGGCACTGCTCTGTCAGAAGGATGAAGGGCTGAGCCCAGCCAGTCAGGATTACAGCTTGGGGGTGGGAAGGTTAGTAGGATGAAGGAGTGAGAAGGTAAACAAACAGCACATTCCACTGGCTCCTGTTGGCAGGAGAAGGGATTTCCTGGCAAAGGGAGGGAGAATGAGGGATTGCACAGAAAAGCCAAGAGAAAACCACACATGGTTCTCTTCCAGAAGAACACTGAGGTCAGACTGGGCTCTGCTGTCAGCAGCAGGAAGGACTTTGCCATCGCCATGTGCTGAGCAGCAGGAACTATTTTATTTTAATGGCAGCAAGAGAATACAGGCCAACACCCCCACCAGCACAAACAGATTATTTGGGGGAGGTATGTTGTGCTGCTGCTCCTGCAGGAGAGTGTTCTCCAGCAAAAAAAGGGCAGCTAAAATTCAGTTAGTAAAACCAAACTGCAGCTCAGCAACCAAAGAGTTCTTTTACATTGCAATATAGATAAAGCAAATCACAGGAATAAAGCTCCCCATTTTAGTCCTGTTTTATGCAGGTCATTCACTTGCATCTTTAAGGGCAAGTCTAGTCCCAAGCCTTTTTCTCCATCTATAAGCTAGAAATAGCAATTACTTATTTCACACCAAAACATGCTGTCTGCTGGACTTTGTGAATTGCTCCCATGTTTCTGGAGTAAACACACTGCAGAAGGATTGGAGAACTTTTTTTTTTCCAAGGGGAAGAATGGACAGAAAAGATTTAACAACAAATATTTGAATGGGAAAGTAATTAAACCCCACCACTTGACTTTTTAGTTCATATTGCACTGAATGCAACAAAGTTGTACCAAATCATTGATCTGCAGCCACCTTAATCCTCCTGAAATGTTCCCTCCTTGAAGTTTCCTGCAATCTTTTCCTCCCAAGTGCTCCAAATGTTGAGCACTAAAAACCACTGCATAAACATCATGTCATGTTTTTTCTAGATCCAGCCTTAAGTTGCCTCAGCTTGACTCCCAGGGCAGTCTGTGTCACCTCTTCTTGAAGCTCCAGTTTCCATTGTCTACAGGCAATTGCTTTAGGCTTTCTGTCTCCAGAGCAAAGAAATGGGTAAAAAACCCCTAAGACAATGTTTTTGTCAGAGTAGCACAAAGCTGGAACGAAGCTCTAGAATCTTTTAGAACTAATGGCATAAATCTCTCAGCTTAGAAAGGGTCATGTGTCACTATTGAGCCTTTAGCCCCCAAACTGTACAACTGACCACAGTCTGAAAATAATTATAATTCATTTCATGGTCTGGTGTCCTTGCTCCTACAATGCTCTTCACAATAACATTCTAAACACCAAGTTGATTTTAAGCATCTAAGCTTTACCTAAGCACTTCTTACAAACACAAAGCCATCTCAGAACAAGTTACCCATTTTTAAATATTAGTGTTTCCTGCAAGAGCTAGTTGCTTGTAGCAATAAATGCAGCCACTCAGCAGAATAAAGAACCATTTAATAGGGGTTATTTTTACTATGAAGTTTCAGTGCCAATGCCCTTCAACCTGGAAACCTCATGGATTTTTGACAAATGCAGATATCTGAACAGTTGCTCTTTGTATCTGTAGTCAGTTTGCTTGTATTTTCACATGCCCCTGTGCTATCCACCAGTTAAAGGCTGAGGACTCTTTGCTGTATCCCACAGCTGATCCTAGATAAATTACCTACTATTGGAGACTTCTGTAGCTCTGTCTTCGTCAAGGGACTTTCCACTAGTAAGATACGTGCTCTTCACTAGAGATTTCTTTGTACAGCTGGCAATGAGACTGAGTTTTCTTTCCACACTATTGATCAAGGAGAAACAGTGTCTCTGGTTATCAACTCTTTACTGAGCAGGGAACTCTCTCGTTGGTGCCCAGGACAGGCAAATCCTTCTGGAAGCCACAACAATGTTCAGTTTTGCCTGGATTCTCAAGCAAGGTGAAACCTGCAAATGAAAGATTCCTACCTTATTGTCTTTGTCCCCTGCTCACGATCTAAGCCAAAGATAACCACGTCTCAGAGCAAATAATCACCTGTCACCCAACAGCACTGGTTTCACAACTGCATCCTGCTTTTCCTCAACCAGTTGCTCTTGTTCTCCCCTGCCTGACTCACCTCTCCTCAGCCAGCCCCATGTCCTGCTCTCCTCTCCTCCTCAAATCATCTGACTTGGTGCCCACTCGTGTTTACCCGAGGGCTCCTTTCCACCACACCACCTTTGCCTCCTCTCACCCCTCTGCAGCTCTTGGAGCCACTGGAACTCCCTTCAGCCCCCTGGGCAGCAGAGCCCGTGATGCTCCCGCTGCTCCTCCCACAGCCATCGGCTCCCTCTGATCTGCACGTGCTGCCGGAGCCTCTTCCCTGCCAGTTCCTGCAGGCAGAGGAGCAGCCTGGGGAGGTTCCCTGTGCACCTCACTACTAATCAGACACCAATACTTTTCCACACGCTTATTAAGTGGCTTCCATCGTGTTCCCAGCCCTTCCCTCTGTCATCTTCCTTCCCAAGACTATTCAAAACCAGCTGGTCCTACTGGCGCATGTTTGCTGGGAGGATTTTGGAATTCCAGTGAGAGGGCAGTGGCACACCTTTCCCAGCCAGAAACAAACTTTCAATTCTGGCAAGTCTAGAGTGAGTAGCACAGTTCAAGCCTGTACTGTCTTCAAATTGATCAGTCACATTCTGGAATAAATCCATCTGAGGAGCGAGTGAGCTGTTCCTCCACATTGTACAAGCCAATTCACCAATTAGGATGTCAAGAGGTGTTCCTACACCACAGGTTTGACACATCAGTATGCCAATACCAAGTCTGTACCTTTCTCAAGAATGTTTTAATTCCTTAACAGTCCATTTACCCTGACAGGGGAGAATAATCAGCTGGCTTTCCCTAAGCACTTCAAAGGGAAGCTTGTTCAGACCTTACTAAGGCAGCCTTTAAGCCAGTACTGTCTGGATGGAACCTCCCCAGTAGATGCTACAGTCATCCAGACTGGCAGCTGAGAGGTTTGCAATAAAACACTGAGTAACCTTATTATTGGGACACGCTGGTGCCATTCTCCCCCTTTCCAAAAAGCTGAAGTTTCTGCTGGGGAATGAAAAGATACATTGGTTAGATAAAAATCTGTCAGGTTATACAGTGCACGTAAACTTAAGCATAAGCCTCAGGTACTTGCACTGTTTCTTACCTATGAGGCTCACCTGTAGTACAGATCTCTTAAAATTGTTTTGATCCAAACCCCTGTCACAGCCCTTAACTGTGCTTCTCACTGCCAGCACATGTTCAAAACCAACTCCAGTACCACAGAGCACCCAAAGCAGCTGCTAAAAAATACACAACTCCCAGAGCACTGGGGCCATAAGAGAGGTGAAGAGCTATCAAGTGACGAGTTTGAGGAGTTCAGCTAAGAACAGTAACAGGAGAGCAGCGTCCCAGATGCCAACCCTCTGTCGTATACCCAAGAACCACGACTGTTCGAACTCTCAGACCTATTTGCAATATCAGGGATTAACTTCTTCAGGGCTTTTTTTAGCCTTGCTGCTATTTTTTCAATTTTTATTTAAAGCTTTATCTGCTGGTATGACTCAGCTGGAAAGAGTGAGTCTAAAATTTCTGGCAAAGGTCTTACCCCAGTCTTGGATAAGTTCGTGCCTTGAACACTTGATGCAGACTAAGTGGTGCAATATAATTGCAAGCAGTTTCCAAAAGAGCAACAAATCCTTGACTAACCAAGCCTCGGGCTTACAGAGTGCTTTGACTTCTCAAGGTAGAGACAAGCCAAAGCAACTCACATTGTTAAAAGTGAGGGTCTCTGCTGAGCCACTCTTTTCATCACTTCCGTAGCTGCCCTCCGAAGTTTGTTACTTGGGGGGGGCTGGATCATGATGTGTGCTTCTCTCCACAAAAGGTAGAGAAGTGATCCAAACTAAAACTAATTGTTTTCTGGAGAACTTGGACTGAGCCTGGAATTCACCAGGAATCACCGAAGCAGAAGCTTGAGTCAGTCAGCTCTGTGGTGGGATGTCAACACTCATAGCTGTCATCTGATGTACTGCTAGTTTCATTTGTACTAATTTATTAATTCTCATGGTCCTCATTCCTGCCTTTTGCCTTTGTTTAACATCCAGAGATCAGGAATTCCAGGCCCATTCCTTTAAAAAAAAAAAAAAAAAAGTTTTCATTTGGATCCCTTCTCTAAGTTTTGTGCCTTCAATAGGCTTCAGAGGCCTGAATTTTGCCCGATAAAGGCCAGTTTTTTGTGTCTCTGGTAGAGAGGCAAAAATGCAGTTTGGGCAAGGGGTTATGAGAAGTTATCACATATAGGTTGGAAAGACAAAAGTTATTCAACTATAACAGTATTTGCAAGATCCATTGTAATGTTTCAGTACGGAAACACGGAAGAGTTCAGTGTGCTGTTGGACTGCATTTAAGAGCTTGTTTTCCCTCCTCTCTTGCACTTGCACGTTTGGGATGTCATGAGCAATGTTCTTATGACAGAACAGGCTGTAAACCCGCCCTGCACCTGGCTGCGAGCATTGTGTAGGGTCTGCAGTGCTGTGCTCAGAGAACATCACAGAACATCCCGCGTTAGGAGGGACCCACCAGGACCACCCAAGCCCAGCTGCTGCCTCCGCTGTCCGAGCGTTGTGTTACCCCGGGGAGGAACGGGCCCGGCGCTAACGAGAGCTCCGAGCCGTAACCGCCCCAGAGCGGAGGGACAGCGGGGAGGGCGCGGGCAACGCCGTTCTGTCCGTGCTGGCAACAACCTCGCGGTCGGCTGGAGCCTCCTCCGCACCCCGCAGCCGGGAAACCTTCCCCCGTTCTCCCCCGGCCCCCGCCGTTCCCGCGGTCACCCCCGCTCCGGCACAGCCCGGTGGGGTCCCGGCACAGCCCGGCGGGGTCCCGCCCCGCGCCCCCCGGCCCGTACTCACGGCGCGGAGCCGCCGCCTCACGCCGCCATCCCGGGGCCGCCCCGAGCGGGGAGGGAGAGGCCGCCCGGGAGCGGGGGACACCGCCGCCCGCGCCGGCAGGCCCCGCAGGCCCCGGCCGGCCGCCCGCCT